TGCCTCTAGTAAAAAACATAACTGAACTAGAATACTCCAACAAGCTACAAATATCATAACACAGGATTCATTTTGAGCATGTGCCTGTAACTCTTTGGTACTCTCCTCTCTAGATTCACACCACCAAGTTTTTTAACTGCCCTGTATTCTCTTGTCACACTGTCTGTATTAGTTTCCTATTACTGTTGTAACAAAATACCACAAACTCAGTGGTGGAAACCAACACAAATTTATTATCTTACACTTCTGGGAGTCAGATGTTCAAAATAGTTCTCACTAGGCTGAAATAAAAAAAAAAAAGCAGGGTTGCATTCCTTCTGGAGGCTCTCAAGAAGAATCCATCTCCTTGCCCTCTTCAGGTTGCACAATCCACCTGCATTCCTTCCCCCATGACTCCTTCCTCCATTTTCATCTTCATCTCTCCTCTCTGACCTCTGTGTCAGTCCTTACACCTCCTCTCTCTGACTCTGATCTCATGACTCTCTCTTATAAAGACCGATGTGATTTCACTGGGACCACTAAAATGATCCAGGATAATCTCTTCATTTCAAGATTCTTAATCAGATCAGTAAAGTCCCTTTTACCACATAAGCCAAGATATCCATAATTTCTAAGAGTTAAGACAAGGACTTTGCGAAGTGGGCATTATTCAACTTACCAAAGTGCCCAACATAGAATATAAGATTAATGCTTGTTTAGTTAATTTCTTTAAATAAATTCCTGCTAAGTGTACTTATATTTTAAATCTTAAAATGAACAAAAATATTGTCTTTTTTTAAATTTCCAATACTTGTGTCTTCTACTAATCACCTGAAACTTACATTTGTGGCAGATATGAAAATGCACTTGAACAGTTAAGAAATATATAAATATGTGATTTCAGTTGCCACTTCAATCTCTTCTTGTTAAACTTTGAAAACCTGACATTTGAAAGAGAAAGGCTGTGTAACAATTCCACTTTGTAAATATTCTTTCAGTTTGGCGACATAGAATTGTACGAGTTTACAAATGTCCCATAATCAAACTTTAAAATGGGTAGTCAAACACACACAAAAAGGGGGTCCCTCAAAACGGATAGTGGCAGGGGTTCTCTAATTCCTTACATGCCCTTTGACAAAATGTTTAAATGGAAAAAAAAAATGAAAAACAAATGCTAGCCTTTCTGAGTTAAAACAGTTCCAATTGCTTCAACAGATCACTGCACAAGAGTGAGCAACTGCTTATTGAAATTCTGCTTCCTGGAAGCACCTCCAATGCCCTCTTGTTCAGGGAAAAGTCTGAAATATTAACCAGGGATAGCTTTACAAAAGCTGAGGCCAAACACAAAAAGCTCAGTGCTGCAGGCACGTGATCCCCATGTGAGATTTGCGTGAATGATCCCCTGACGTTGTTCAAGTGGCTCCAACATCTCCAGCACCACCACCTCCACCGTGCAGTTTTTCTGCTTCCCTGCTCTTGAATTTCTGGTCTACAGTTGATTTTAAAAAGCTTGATATGTTGACATACCAGTACAGATACATAGTCCACTATCTGAAAATCTTGGGGACAAATGTGTAAAGAATTTGGGGGTTTTAGAGAGGAAACAGAACATATACCATGTTAAGTTAACACTGCCAGTGGGTTTGGGTCAGTATCTCTTAATATTTCTGCAGTAAAAGATATAAATATTCTCACCAAGCAGAATAAACCAAGATTATTTAAAAATTTTTTTACATCAATTCAGGTTAGCTTTTGCTGCCTATTTAGTTTGATGAAGATTCAATAGTCAGAGCCTTTTAGATTTTAGAATTTAAAATAAGGGACTGTAGATCTATATTACAAGTTGGTGGGTTGTGGTTTTTTGTTAGGTTTGGTTTGGTTTGTTTGGTTTGGTTTGGTTTAATTTTTCTGTTGCTTACCATCCAAGTGAAACTCCAACCTCCTCGAACCAGTGGAAAGAGTTTTAGTGATACAGAGACGCCACTTCATTTTACCAACAGGGACACCACAGCACAGAGAGTTCAGGTGGTTTGGGGAGGTTATAAATTAGCTCTATGCTGGACATTAGGTTTTTGACATCAGACAGGCCTAGGTTGAACTCAGCCCTAACTAAATCTATCTTGGCAAATTTGTACCCAGCCTTACTTCACTCAGATTACCATTATTCCCTCTGTTGAGAGAGCCTCTTACTCATAAGGCCATTAAAAGCAAGTGCAATGCTTGACACAATGAGCAGCACATGCTAAATAAAAGGCAAATATTCCTATCCTTGGAGTGATTTTTATGATTGTTATCGAGCTAATTCAATTAAATTCAATAAATGTTTTCAGAATTCCTCCCTGAAAGTTATTGGACTAGATTATAGGGGTAAACAAAGCAGAATTATCTGCCCATTACACTGTAAGCAATTCGAGGGGTTCTCTTATATCTGTGGTACCTGCGTCTCTGACGCACAGCATGCACTCAGTTCACTTCAGTTGAATAGATTAAATTCAAGGTGCTCACAATCTAATGGGGGATGTAATAACAGTAACGATGAAAAATGTGAAAAATACCCTGAGAGCTTTGCAAAGTGCTATGGGAATAAAAAAAAAAAAAGATTTATTCCAGCTTGGACTATAGGGAGACTTTAATGAAGAGGGAACATTTGTGCTAGGCCTGAACAGGAGGACAGGCCTTCAGCAGGTGTAATTGGGGGTTAAGGAAAAGCCATTTCAGGTAGGAGAAAGTACTTACTCAAATTTCTACAAAAATGGAAAATTGCATAGTATGTTTAATAAGTAGTGGGCTATGTGCTTGGAAGACTGAATGGAGAAACTGCATGGGTCATTTGTATGGAGGAATTTCAGCCTGCCAGCTTCAGAAGTAGATTAAGACTAAGTCAAATATAATAATACATGAAGGAGCGTAGACTGTATGTCGAGGCTTGGGAGGACTAAATTTTCCTTTTTTTTTTTAAATCTTGCTTTGTTTTTAGCAGGACATGATAATCCAAGCCTATGATTTTGTCCAAGCTTTAGAAAAATAGTGGTGGTAGCATTTTTAGGAGGGAGAGAAGGACAGAGAGAGACATAAAGTAGGTAGACCCATCAAGGGTTAAAAAGGCATAAGTAGAATGGACCATATTTGTCAGCCAGTTAGATGTAGGAAGCAAAGAGAGGATTCAAAGATTACTTTCAGTTTTTAGACCTTGGGGCATGATAGTGCCAGAGAGAAGGGAGAGTGTAGATGTTGGATGAGGAAAGTGGAAAATTATGAGTTCACTTTTAAACTGAACAATAAATTACTTCCTGTCCTAAGTCAAAAAATAAAACTGGCCAGTGATGTCAGGAAAGTAGACATTCAACCAAGAGTAATTAGTTATGGACTAATGTCTTTAGACTCAAGCAATGGGCCTGCTAATCTCACATTGTCCCTATTTGAGGGAGGCTACGTGAAGTTCAATGCTACATGCGAGTCCATGAGTTGCAATTCCATTTCACAGGGCGGAGATTATTCCAACTTACATAAAATGAGCATTGCAAGTGCACAAGCCCACCTAGGATGTTTTTTTATCACAGTTTGTTCTATGTAGGAAATCAGATAATTTACTTGAAAAGAACCTCTTTCTTACATAAAATGAGCATTGCAAGTGCACAAGCCCACCTAGGATTTTTTTTTATCACAGTTTGTTCTATGTAGGAAATCAGATAATTTACTTGAAAAGAACCTCTTTGTATCAATGAAGCTTCTTGAGGTGGCAAGTGTGGTGAGGCAAGCAGGTGCCTGACTCTCAGGTCATGCACGTGCCGTGCTGCATTTCAGAGACCCTCCTTAAATTTTACAGCCGAGGCACCTCATTTGCCTCGTCCTAGTCCTGTGCCTATGAGTATCATGAAATCTTTTCCAAGACAAAGTGATAATAATCTATATTAAGAAGCTGTATGTTGTAGTACAGGGTTTGGCAAACTTTTCCTGTATAAGACCAGATAGTAAATATTTTAGGCTTTGCAGGCCATGTGGTCTCTACCGCAACTACTACACAATTCTTTTATTATAGTGAGAAAGCAACCATAGATGATATGCAATGAATGGGCATGGCTTTGTCCCAATAAAACTTTATTTACAAAAACAGGCAACAGGTCAGATTTATCATTTAGGTCATTCTAACTCTCTTATGTGGAAGGAGCTAATCAGACCTTAGATTTAAATTCCAGATATACCGTTTACCAAATATGTGTATTTGGACATTCACTTCTTTAAAATATGATCATTATACCTTCCTTACTGAGTGGGAGGATTAGAGAAAATGTCTTATAAATAACAGGCATTCAACAGAGCAGTGAGTGGTCCTTTTAATCACAAGGCAAGATAGGAATAATAGCGAGTATTTATTGAATGCTTATGATATGTCAGCTACTGAGTTAAGTACTTTACAAAGATCATTTATTTAACCTTCCAACAACTCTCTGAAGTAGGAGCTATAATAGCACTTCTTTCTGCTTCTGGGGAAACTGAGGCACTGTGAGCCTAAAGGATGCTGATACAGATAGCTAAGTGATATAAATGGCATTTAATCTCAAGTAAGTGGATTCCAAGGGCCTTGGTGCTAATCCCTAGGCTAGGTAATCAGTTCCATTAATTCAGCCCCAATTGAAATGTTCAAAGTCATCTCAAGTTCTTTCTAACTTCTCATAACTCAACACCGGGCCACACAACTGAAAATAGTTTAATACAACTTTTAGAAATTCACCTTCTGGTTAATAATCAGCTAACATCTTACATAAATAAAATACTTACTTCACCCTCCCTCCTGCCACTTTCCCTCCTCTCCCCAACAAAGATGTTGGCAGTCAAGGAAAACCAAAATATTACTGAGAAAGCTAATGCAAACCCATCTCAAAAAAATTTATCCTATAATCACTCTAAAAACTTGCAATTTCAAAGCTATGCTGCAGAATAGCATACTGGATTAATTATGCCAGACTGCAGCAATAACCTTGAATTAAAGCTGCAACCTTCTATTTTTAAGAAACACTTGCCTTTCTGGTTGATGAAACCTGTCGTCCCATCAGGTAACAGACGTGACCAGGAAAGAGAGAAGCGGTAATGAGTCAATCCAAGCTGTTTGATACATTTCAAATCTTCCTCCCACAGAGTGTAGCTGCCACAAGCTACATCGCCAGTCTGGTTTTTGAAAACTCTCTCTCCTCCCTGATGGGTGAATGTGTCCCAGACAGAAGGGCCTTTTCCATCTGCATCCCAGCCTCCTGAGAAAAAGAAGAAAATGAAATGGTTACACTCTTGACATCAAGAGGCATATGTGGAATGTAAATATTTGTCACCAAAAGAACATACCTCATTAACTCAATGTACCATATTTATAACTTTAAAATATGCCTTTAAAATAACATGCATGAGTGGGTTATGTGTTTAGCTGTCCTTGATCCCTGAAGCTGACTGGTGGCAAATGAAAAATTATTGCATAGTGCTGCTGCATAGCAGGACTTCATGGTTCACTATCTGAAAATCTCCCAGCTGGTAAACAGAGGCAGGCTCCAGCTTACGAATGTCTGAGTTGAAAACATCTCCTCGTTGTGAACATTCCCCCTGGCCATGATCGACACACCTTGTTCTGCGTGTGATGGAGTCTGGGGACCCTGTGCGTGGACCTCTACACTTAAACCTTATTCTCCTTGAATGTCTGAGTTGAAAACATCTCCTCGTTGTGAACATTCCCCCTGGCCATGATCGACACACCTTGTCCTGCGTGTGATGGAGTCTGGGGACCCTGTGCGTGGACCTCTACACTTAAACCTTATTCTCCTGTTATCTGACAGTGGTGCCTGTGATGATCCAGTCCATTTTTGTTTGTAGGGCACTAGGTTCTGCCATTGTTGATATGATACTGTTATCTGAAATTCATTCATTCATACCTCCATTAATTCAACAAATGTTATGTGTCGGCCATTATGTTAAGCACAAAAGATATCGGGGTGGACTATGTTGTGCCACATGCCCCTGGGGAGCTTAGCTAATAGGCCATTGCAAAAGAGCAATGTAAAGGCCTTGCCTGTACAAAAACAGGGAAGGGTGTTCATCCAATCGTGAGCTAGAATCAGAGGAAGTCTCTTTCTGCTCAGTTTTTCTGTAAACCTAACACTGGTTTGTAGTCATCCATTTTCTGTTTCGTATAACA